AGTAGATGCATGCCTCCACCTTCAAGTACACAGATAGAGTAGATGCATGTCTCCACCTTCAAGTACACAGATAGTGTAGATGCATGTCTCCACCTTCAAGTACACATTTCCATAAGCAGGAGAAATGTCCGCTACCAGCTGTATCCACTGTGGATTCCGACTCTGACACGAGTATGTTTTCCCGAATCACTCTCACATAGTGATGCCACAAGGTGTTGGCGTCAAGGTGTCTCTATCCTGCCGCATCGGTTGCACCCGTCACAAACACATGCAAGTGCAAGTCAATTGATCCCCCAACGCAATACGGGAACATATGGTACAAGTCGAAATACGGAATTGCATCGGACATCACATTTGTAAAGATGCGTCAAATATGGAACTGTTCTCCACATGACTACCTTAACTACTTCAGTCACACATACAACGTTAGAGAGTGGTTCAGTAGTAACAAAGACATAAGTGGAAGGTGTAGAAATGTATGGAGATCAATACGTTCTTCGATTTGTTTTTAACGGGTTTGTAAAATATTATTCAATATTAAACTATCATCCGAAGTTACATGCTGATGAAATAGAATTAACTGATGGGACAACACGTGACGTTAAGACGGTTTCCGGTCAGCAGAGACTGACCATACACACTCGTGCCCCTTGGTGCAACAGGGATATGAAGGAAACGTTATGTAACGATCAATAATAGTAATAATGATGATGATAATGATGATGATGATGATGATGATGAGCAAAGTGGCACCATGTGTGTGCATAACTATCCTCATCACAGACAGTCCGTCTATTTCCCTAAGGCACGATGGTAACTATGATACCCGTGGTGTAATGGGACTCTTCCTGGTGTTGCCGTATGGCTTCTTAACGTCAACGTGTTTCATATAACATTACAGTTAGATCTACAATATACATCCCCGAACACCACTCCACATGTATCCTGTAGGTCAGATATGTGTCAGCCCCCCTCTCATCAGCATGTCCTGTCTGTTCAGCGCGGATGAGCAGCACTTGTGCACGATTACCAACTTTGGGAGACGATACTTCCTTGTGTATCTCAGCAAACTGAATTTCGGTGAAATAACTGTGATACATGTGGTGTGTGTGTGTGTGTGTGTGTGTGTGAATGTATGGTTTTACGCCGCTTTTAGCAATATTCCAGCAATATCACGGCGAGGGACACCAGAAATGGGCTTCACACATTGTACCAATATCGGGAAACGAACCCGGGTCTTCGGCGTGACGAGCGAACGCTTTAACCATTAGGCTACCCGACCGCCCCGTGATACATGTGGAGTCATGTATTGACTATTTAACAATTACTGCCATACATGTAGAGTCATATGTTTACCATACAGCAATGACTCTCGGACATGTAATCGTATACTTGTTATGTGCTATATTACACCTCTGACCATGTAATCCTATACTTGTTATGTGCTATATTACACCCCTGAACATGTAGTCGTATACTTGCTGTGTGCTATATTACACTCCTGACCATGTATTCGTATATTTGCTATGTGCTATATTACACCCCTGACCATGTAGTCGTATACTTGCTATGTGCTATATTACACCCTGACCATGTAGTCGTATATTTGTTATGTGCTATATTACACCCCTGACCATGTAGTCGTTTACTTGTTATGTGCTACATTACACTCCTGACCATGTAGTCGTATACTTGCTATGTGCTATATTACACTCCCGACCATGTAATCGTATATTTGCTATGTGCTATATTACACTCCTGACCATGCAATCGTATACGTGTTATGTGCTATATTACACCCCTGACCATGTAATCGTATACTTGTTATGTGCTATATTACACCCCTGACCATGCAATCGTATACTTGCTATGTGCTATATTACATCCCTTACCATGTAATCCTATACTTGTTATGTGCTATATTACACCCCTGACCATGTAATCGTATACTTGTTATGTGCTATATTACATGCCTGACCATGTAATCCTATACTTGTTATGTGCTATATTACACCCCTGACCATGTAATCGTATACTTGCTATGTGCTATATTACATCCTGACAATGTAGTCGTATACTTGCTATATGCTATATTACATCCTGACTATGTAATCGTAAACTTGTAATGTGCTATATTACATCCCTGACCATGTAATCCTATACTTGTTATGTGCTATATTACACCCCTGACCATGTAATCGTATACTTGCTATGTGCTATATTATAACCTGACCATGTAGTCGTATACTTGCTATGTGCTATATTACATCCTGACTATGTAATCGTATACTTGTTCTGTGCTATATTACACCTCTGACCATGTAGTCGTATACTTCCTATGTCCTATATTACACCCCTGACCATGTAGTCGTATATTTTCTAGGGCTATATTAAACCCCTGACCATGTAGTCGTATACTTGTTATGTGCTATATTACACCCCTGACCATGTAATCGTATACTTGTTATGTGCTACATTACACTCCTGACCATGTAGTCGTATACTTGTTATGTGCTATATTACACCCCTGACCATGTTGTCGTATACTTGCTATGTGCCATATTACATCCCTGACCATGTAATCGTATACTTGTTATGTGCTATATTACACCCCTGACGTTGTAATCGTATACTTTGTATGTGGTATATTACACCTTTGACCATGTAGTCGTATACTTGTTATGTGCTATATTACACCCCTGACCATGTAGTCGTATACTTCCTATGTCTTATATTACACCCCTGACCATGTAGTCGTATATTTTCTATGCGCTATATTAAACCCCTGACCATGTAGTCGTATACTTGTTATGTGCTATATTACACCCCTGACTATGTAATCGTATACTTTGTATGTGCTATATTACACCCCTGACCATGTAGTCGTATACTTGTTATTTGCTATGTTACACCCCTGACCATGTAGTCGTATACTTGTTATTTGCTATGTTACACCCCTGACCATGTAGTCGTATACTTGTTACGTGCTATACTACACCCCTGACCATGTAGTCATATACTTGTTATGTGCTATATCAAACACCTTACCATGTAATCCTATACTTATTATTTGCTACATTACATCACTGACCATGTAGTCGTATATTTGATATGTGCTATATTACATCCCTGACCATGTAGTCGTATATTTACTGTGCTATTTTACACCCCTGACCATGTATTCGTATATTTGCTAAGTGCTATATTACACCCTTACCATGTATTTGTATACTTGCTATGTGCTATATTACACCCCTGACCATGTAGTCGTATACTTGTTATGTGCTATATTACATCCCTAACCATGTATTCGTATACTTGCTATGTGCTATATTACACCCCAGACCATGTAGTCGTATACTTGCTATGTGCTATATTACACCCCGACCATGCAATCGTATATTTGTTATGTGCTATATTACACCCCTGACCATGTAGTCGTATACTTGCTATGTGCTATATTGCATCCCTGACCATGTAGTCGTATACTTCCTATGTCCTATATTACATCCCCGACCATGTAGTCGTATACTTGTTATGTGCTATATTACACCCCTGACCATGTAGTCGTATACTTGTTATGTGCTATATTACAACCCTGACCATGTAATCGTTTGCATGTTATGTGCTATATTACACCCCTAACCATGTAATCGTATACTTGTTATGTGGTATATTACACCTCTGACCATGCAATCGTATACTTGTTATGTGCTATATTACACCCCTGACCATGTAGTCGTATACTTGCTATGTGCTATATTGCATCCCTGACCATGTAGTCGTATACTTCCTATGTCCTATATTACATCCCCGACCATGTAGTCGTATACTTGTTATGTGCTATATTACACCCCTGACCATGTAGTCGTATACTTGTTATGTGCTATATTACAACCCTGACCATGTAATCGTTTGCATGTTATGTGCTATATTACACCCCTAACCATGTAATCGTATACTTGTTATGTGGTATATTACACCTCTGACCATGCATTCGTATACTTGTTATGTGCTATATTACATCCCTGACCATGCATTCGTATACTTTCTATGTGCTATTTTCCATCCCTGACCATGTATTCGTATACCTGTTATGTGCTATACTACACCATGATCATGTAGCAGTAAGCTGTGCAAAGTTGCGTCCCTTGGGCACGACCGAAACCTATGATTGTGGATTTGAATCCCGTGTCTGTCTGAACGTGTGTCTAGGTTTGCCGGCACCAGACCCGTGCTCGTGGGTTTCACCAACTTGATCAACGTCTGAGACCTGCATCACTTCGTGTTTTCCTCCCACATTAAGCTGACACGCCGTGATACAAGTGGAAAACTGTTTACAGCGGCGTTAAAGCCACTCACTCACTCGATCACTCCTTATGTAATCTACGTGTCAAAGTTTCCTCTGTTCTTCTAACGACTCACGCATAACGGGACAAGTAACCCAGACTGTCGAGGGGATAGCTTAGTGGCTATTTCGTTATTTCGCCAGGCGCGTGCTCGATTCCCCGCATGCTGGTGTCCCCTTCCGTGGCCGGGGGTAATCGATAAAAGAGGAGTAAAACCACATTCACTCCAGATATATTGACACATGTTGATATGGAAAGTACATGCCAACTCAGGACACATGGCAACTCAGGATACATGGCAACTCAGGACACATGACAACTCATGACACATAACAACTCAGGACACATGGCAACTCAGGACACATGACAACTCATGACACATGGCAACTCAGGACACATGGCAACTCAGGACACATGACAACTAATGACGCATAACAACTCAGGACACATGGCAACTCAGGACACATGACAACTCATGACACATGGCAACTCATGACACATGGCAACTCAGGACACATGGCAAATCAGGACACATGACAACTAATGACACATAACAACTCAGGACACATGACAACTCATGACAATGTAATGGTGGTATGCTCTGCATGGGAACAGCTGGATCAAGATCGGGATGAGAAATGTTAAACTTACCCATAAGTTGTGCTAGCGAGGGCTGTGACGACGAGGAAGCAAATTGCCAGTCGGCGTTGTGTGTCGGTCATGATGCCGACGACCGAGAAGACACTGAGAGATGAACGCGTTGATACAAACTTATATAGCCCCACGCCTACAAGTCAAAGAAGGAACTTGTATTATTCAACAGCGGCTTCGTCACAACGCACATGCTAATGACTAAAAATTATGCTCTGTGATGGGTATATTCATTATGATATGGTTGTTACAAAATGTATGCACATTTCAAATAAAAGCTTTAGTCAACCTCTTCTCGCATATTTATGACGCATCAACGAAGACAGTATTAAAACACCCACCCAAACATCCCTAAATACACAAAGACACACATCTGTCTAAATACACTGACACACATCTGTCTAAATACACACAGTCACATATCTGTGTAAATACACTCAAAACACACATCCATAAAAACACACATCTGTCTATATACATATAGTCTCACATCTATCTAAAATACACTCAAAACACACATCCACAAAAACAGTTATGTATACACTGGAGTGTGGTACTGACAGTTATGTATACACTGGAGTGTGTTACTGACAGTTATGTATTTACTGCAGTGTGGAACTGACAGTTATGAACACACTGGAGTGTTGTACTGACAGTTATGTATACACTGGAGTGTGGTACTGACAGATATGTATACACTGGAGCGTGGTACTGACAATTATGTATACACTGGAGCGTGATACTCACAGTTATGTATACACTGGAGTGTGTTACTGACAGTTATGTATACACTGGAGTGTGTTACTGACAGTTATGTATACACTGGAGTGTGGTACTGACAGTGATGTATACACTGGAGTGTGGTACTGACAGTTATGTATACACTGGAGTGTGGTACTGACAGTGATGTATACACTGGAGTGTGGTACTGACAGTTATGTATACACTGGAGTGTGGTACTGACAGTTATGTATTCACTGGAGTGTGGTACTGACAGTTATGTATACACTGGAGTGTGGTACTGACAGTTATGTATACACTGGAGTGTGTTACTGACAGTTATGTATACACTGGAGTCTGTTACTGACAGTTATGTATACACTGAATGTGTTACTCTCAGTTATGTATACACTGGAGTGTGGAACTAAAAAATATGTATACACTGGAGTGTGGTACTGACAGATATGTATACACTGGAGTGTGGTACTGACGGTTATGTATACACTGGAGTGTGGTACTGACAGTGATGTATACACTGGAGTGTGGTACTGACAGTTATGCATAGACTGGAGCGTGTTACTGACAGTTCTGTATCCACTGGAGTGTGGTACTGACAGTTATGTATACACTGGAGTGTGGTACTGACAGTTATGTTATACTGGAGCGAGGTACTGACAGTTATGTATACACTGGAGTGTGTTACTGACAGTTATGTATACACTGGAGCGTGGTACTGACATATATGTATACACTGGAGTGTGTTACTGACAGTTATGAATACACCGGAGTGTGGTACTGACAGTTATGTATACACTGGAGTGTGGTACTGACAGTTATGTATACACTGGAGTGTGGTACTGACAGTTATGTATACACTGGAGTGTGTTACTGACAGTTATGTATACACTGGAGTGTGTTACTGACAGTTATGTATACACTGAATGTGTTACTCTCAGTTATGTATACACTGGAGTGTGGAACTAAAAAATATGTATACACTGGAGTGTGGTACTGACAGATATGTATACACTGGAGTGTGGTACTGACGGTTATGTATACACTGGAGTGTGGTACTGACAGTGATGTATACACTGGAGTGTGGTACTGACAGTTATGCATAGACTGGAGCGTGTTACTGACAGTTCTGTATCCACTGGAGTGTGGTACTGACAGTTATGTATACACTGGAGTGTGGTACTGACAGTTATGTATACACTGGAGTGTGTTACTGATAGTTATGTATACACTGGAATGTGTTACTCTCAGTTATGTATACACTGGAGAGTGTTACTGACAGATATGTATTCACTGGAGTGTGGTACTGACAGTTATGTATACACTGGAGCGTGGTACTGACAGTTATGTATACACTGGAGCGAGGTACTGACAGTTATGTATACACTGGAGTGTGTTACTGACAGTTATGTATACACTGGAGCGTGGTACTGACATATATGTAGACACTGGAGTGTGTTACTGACAGTTATGAATACACTGGAGTGTGGTACTGACAGTTATGTATACACTGGAGTGTGGTACTGACAATTATGTATACACTGGAGTGTGGTACTGACAGATATGTATACACTGGAGTGTGTTACTGACAGTTATGTATTTACTGGAGTGTGGTACTGACAGTTATGTATTTACTGGAGTGTGGTACTGACAGTTATGTATACACTTGAATGTGGTACTGACAGTTATGTATACACTGGAGTGTGGTACTGACAGTTATGTATACACTGGAGCGTGTTACTGACAGTTCTGTATTCACTGGAGTGTGGTACTGACAGTTATGTATACACTGGAGTGTGGTACTGACAGTTCTGTATTCACCTGAGCGTGTTACTGACAGTTCTGTATTCACTGGAGTGTGGTACTGACAGTTATGTATACACTTGAGTGTGTTACTGACAGTTATGTAAACATGGGAGTGAGTAATTTGTTGTGATCTGGGTACAATTACGTCATGCTAATAGAGGAAACACCAGTCTTCAAAGTCATTAAGTGTCTATCATATCGCTTAATCAAGTCTGAACCAGACAATCCAGTGATTGACTTCATGAGCATCAATCTACGCAGTTGGAATGCGATGACGTTATAATGCTAGAAACACCTTGCGTAGGTCTACGTGTATCAGACCAGGGAGATAATGGGTCTCCTGACAGTGCGGGAGTAAGGTCACTACTTTCACTATAATCATGAGACATAGGTAGTTTCAGTAAGTAGACTTCCAATGAACTTTGACAGTACAAACTTAAAAATATTAATAAACATGCTTTGTTCACAAATGTAATTGTGGAAATGTTTGTGAAAATTCACTAATTGGTTGGCTTTCAAACATGTTGTATATTTTACTTCCTCACCAAGTTGAACAAAGCCAAAGGACAAGAAGGATCTAGTGTATCTCGCGTTTCCCCTCCGGAAAGATGGGGCGGAAATTGTCACAAGATATTTCACTATCTGGGTGTGGTCATGTTGGTGACCTGTTTTCGAAAAAAACGTAGTCTACACAAGTGTAAGTCAAGCTTGAACATCCCGCAGTTACCAATCCCTGTCCAAGTAACTGTGTAGTCAACGATTGTCGTGTAACGAGTCAGCAGTTTACAGCCGACCAGCGACTGAAACCAAACCTAGAAACATAATTAGATCGATCTTGTGGGGATTCGAACCCACGATCAAAGGTTTCTGGCAGGCCTAAGGGATGTAACTCTGGACAGCCAATGAAGCCCCTGAGGTGATTGCCCACAAGGTACCAAGGTGTATCACACCATCACACCGAGTTGGTCCATCACACGACATGGTCAACCACACCGACATGGTCAACCACACCGACATGGTCTATCACACCGACATGGTCCACCACACCGACATGGTCCATCACATCGACATGGTCCATCACACGACATGGTCCACCAAGCCGACATGGTCTATCACACGACATGGTCCATCACACGACATGGTCCATCACACGACATGGTCCACCACACCGACATGGTCCATCACACGACTTGGTCCATCACACCGACATGGTCCACCACACCGACATGGTCCACCAAGCCGACATGGTCTATCACACGACATGGTCCACAAAGCCGACATGGTCTATCACACGACATGGTCCACCAAGCCGACATGGTCCATCAATCTGACATGGTCTATCACACGACATGGTCCATCAAGCCGACATGGTCTATCACACATACATGGTCCACCACACTGACATGGTCCATCACACGACATGGTCCATCAAACAGAAATGGTCTATCACACTGACATGGTCCACCACACTGACATGGTCCATCACACGACATGGTCCATCACACCGACATGGTCAACCACACCAAAATGGTCCACCACACAGACATGGTCCATCACACTGACATGGTCCATCACACGACATGGTCCACCAAGCCGACATGGTCTATCACACGACATGGTCTATCACACGACATTGTCCATCACACTGACATGGTCTATCACAAGACATGGTCCATCAAACCGACATGGTCTATCACACGACATGGTCCATCACACCGACAGGGTCCATCACACCGACAGGGTCCATCACACCGACATGGTCCATCACACGACATAGTCTATCGCACTGCCATGGTCTATCGCACAACATGGTCCACAAAGCTGACTTGGTCCATCACGATGACATTGTCCAGCACACCAACATGGTCCATCAAGCTGACTTGTTCTATTACGCCGACATGGTCCATCACGCTGACATGATCCATCACCTACGCCAACATGGTTCAACACACCGACATAGTCCGTCTCTCCAACATGGTCCATCACACCAACATAGTCCGTCACACCACGCGGACATAGTTCATCACACCACGCCCGGATGGTCCATCAAGCTGGCATGGTCCATCACACTGACATGGTTCATCAAGCTGACATGGTCCATCACATGGATATTGTCCATCACACCGACTTGGTCCATCACACCAACATGGTCCATCACACTGACTTGGTCCACCACACAGATATGGTCCATCACGCCAACATGGTCCATCACACCGATATGGTCCATCACACTGACTTGGTCCATCACACCGATATGGTTCATCACTCCAACATGGTCCATCACACTGACATCGTCCAGCACACCAACATGGTCCATCACACCGATATGGCCCTTATCACGCCAACATGGTCCATCACACCGATATGGTCCATCACACCGACTTGGTCCATCACACCAACATGGTCCATCACACCAACATGGTCCATCACGCCAACATGGTCCATCACACCGATATGGTCCATCACACCGACTTGGTCCATCACACGGATATGGTCCATCACGCCAACATGGTCCATCACGCCAACGTGGTCCAGCACACCAACATGGTCCATCACACCGATATGGTCCATCACGCCAACATGGTCCATCACGCC